CTGGCCTAAGGGGAAATTTTTAGCGGGATTTTAAAAACAATTTTAAATTACAAAGGCCAAATTTAAATATTTCATTTTAATTATGTTTTTTAACGATAGTATTGGGGTATTTTTTGTATTTGTTTTTATCAGGCTGTCAGCCGCCCTGAGTCCGCAAGGAGAAGGGCGGGGTAAAAATTCAATTAAATAAATAAATAAAATTTTAGGGCAAGTTTCTAATTCTTTGCAACATGCCAAAGCCAAATTTCTTTACCCTGCCCAATCTAATCCTTTTTCTTTTCACAATCGTTTTCTTTATGATCGTCCAGAGGCCAGCATAAGGAGAGTGGGATACAAAATTGTTTAAAAACCTAAAAGCACAAAAGACAAAAATAAAAAGCACATTGAAAGCTAAAAAACTTTTTTTTAAAAAAATCTAAGAACATCTCTTAAAAATACCTAAAACTAGCTTTTAAAAAAATTCTAAAACTAACTTTTTAAAAAATCTAAAAAAATCTTTTAAACCAATCTAAAAAAATCTTTTAAACCAATCTAAAAAGCATCTGTTAAAAACAATCTAAAATCTACTTTTAAAGAAAACTATAAATTGCTTTAAAAAAATCTAAAAAATACATTTAAAAAATCTAAACAGTATCTTTTTAAAAATCCTAAAAGATAATTAAAAATTTATATTTTAAAGTAATCTTTTTTTAAAACAATCTTTTTTCATGCTGCGCTGGGTCCTCCATCTGCTGCAGGCCCCTGCCCTCTTTCCAGACACCTCTGCGGATGCAACCAGTGTTCTGAAGAGTGAAAGAGTTTTGGAAGTGCACAACTCTATCCCCAGGCCATAAAGTTAAGCACTTCTGAAACTTTTTCACCCTTTGGAACTCTGGTTGCAGCACCTGACAAGCAGGCTTGGGGACCCATTGCCCCGCCTGCTCTAGTTCCTCCACCTGCTGCAGACACCTCTGCAGCTGCAAACAGAATTCCAAAGGATGAAAAAGCTTCAATGGGGACAATTAATATTATCACCGCACGTCTTCTCACTTCCACCCTGCCTGCGCCTGCCACCACAAATGGCAGCCCCCTGCCTGAGACCTGCTTCTCTGCCAAGAACCCCCACCCCTATTTTCTCAATGTTTTCTCTCTCCCCTGATACCTCACACCAGTCCTGTGCCAGGTGAGGACCCTGAAAAGTTTTCCAGCAAGGTGAAGAAAGTCTCTCTCTCCCTCCGTCCATAGCCCATCCCAAATGTTAGAGAAGGAATTTGAGCAGTTCAGGAAGCTAAGTTCCAGGACTGTGCCCAATGGGAAGGCAGAGAGCCACCAGTCGGCACGTGGACTTGCTGCCAGAATGTGCAGCTAATTGTCCTGCTCTACAAATTGGTCAGGACAAGTATCCCTGGACAAATTGCCTGGTATGAAGGAGCAGGAGAGGAGTGATGGGGGATCAGTGATGGAGGAGGAGCACCAGTGGAGGGGCAGACAAATGTTGGCTTCAGTGGGGGAGCCGGGGAGAAATGGTTGCAGCCATATGGCTGCAGCCAATTGTCCCATTCTGAAGCCAGCATTCTGAACATTTTTGCCAGATTTGAGGTCTCTTTCTTCAGAGTGTAAGAACATTTTCTTCCATCCATCGAAGAAAGGGAAATCCCCTTAAATTCCCCATCCTCTCTATTTGCAGCCCTCCCTTCCAGCAAGTCCAGAAGCCAGTAGAGAACTCCAGCATTGTCTTAATTTTCTCGGAGTCCATCTCTATCCCCTCATGGAAAATACAGTAACCCAAATAGTCAATTTTGCTTTGATGGAATTCACACTTTGAAAGTTTGGTGTATAGCTAAGCAGCTCTAAGTTTTTTAAGCACTGCTCTGACCCGTCTCGCATGTTCCGCCATAGTTTCATTGTAAATCAATACGTCATCCAAGTAGACCAGCACTCCCTTGTACAGGTGCTCATGCAATACCTCAATTATCAGCTGCATGAATACTGTGGGAGTCCCTTGTCGCCCAAAGGGGAGGACCCTGAACTGAAAACATCCCAAGGGGCAGTTAAAATCAGTTTTCCATTCGTCTCCATCCTTAATCCTGACTCAGTAATAAGCTTCTCGCAAGTCCAACTCTTCCCTTTGATTAAATGGGCTAACGTGTCCTTCATTAATAGGAGTGGGTAGATGTTTTCCACATACACGATGTTTAACCCTCTATAGTCCACGCATAAGCGAAGGGGACCCATCCTTTTCCTCCAGAATAGCACCAGGGTGGCCACCCTGGGTTGAGCTGGTTAGATATATTCTTGGTTTAGGTTTTTATCTATAAAAAGATGCAGCTCCTCCAGCTCCCTTAGGGTCATCGAGTACGGTTTGGGGTTGGGTAGTTTATTCCTCGGCAAGATCTCTATGGAGTAGTCTGTTGGTCAGTGGAGCGAGAGCTCATCTTAGTCCTTCTTGTTAAATATGCCCTGCAAGTCCCGACACACCTTTGGAATTTGGGGGTCAGCCTTCTTCCACTTTTGCATGGCAACCCCTACTTCATGTCTCAGTTTCAGGATTGCATACTTCCTAAACTAAAACCATCCCATAAAAAAAGAAATGCAAGAAAGCTAAGTGGCTACCTGACGAGATCTTACAAATAACTGAAAAAAGGAAAGTGAAAGGCAAGGAGAAAGGAAAAGTGTACCCAATTTAATGCAAATTTCCAGAGAATAGCAAGTAGAGATAAGAAGGTCTTTTTAAATGAACAGTGCAAAGAAGTAGAGGAAAACAATAAAATGGGAAAGACTAGATATCTCTTTAAGAAAATTGTTTTCCCAAAAACAAGATCAGAAGAGTGACCAGGTCTTATTTAGGAAGGATGTCTTACCTCCAGCCCTGTACAGCCCCGTCCACTTTTTCTGGAGCTGAAGGAGCAGTTTCATTCTGCAGCTGCATTCTGGCCTGCATTTTACAGTCAGGCCTTTCCGGAAGGCCTATGCAGCTGTAAAGGTTTTCAGCTCAGAAGCCAAATAAATCCCAATGAGACTCTAAATATGAGGCATCTGAATTAGAATACAGCTTTATTTCTTTGATCAAAGATATATGCTGGGCATTCCACTCTCCTTTAGACAGCAGAGAAGATGGAGAGCAGAGAACACCTAATCAGAAAAGTTTTTGCTTTTTATAACTAATATACATCACAAGATTCTTGCGCATGTAAGAAAATTCCTTTGAATCTCCTTATCTATCCTGGCGTTACATTTCGGCATCTCTAAGCTTGAACACACAATAGCACAATAGCTGGCAATTAGCCCATTAACTTTGTTACTTTGCAGGCAGGTAGAGAGCTATTGCATTTTAAAGCCATGGCTGAAAAACAAGAAGGGAAAGTTTTACAATACAAGGAGAGAGGGGGTGGGAGATGAGCGAAGTGTTGCAATTTCTTAGCTAGGCTTTCCCTTGAAACAACACAGTTTAAAGCAGGGATAGTCAACCTTGGCTCTTTTATGACTCGTGGACTTCAACTCCCAGAATTCTGGGAGTTGAAGTCCACGAGTCATAAAAGAGCCAAGGTTGACTACCCCTGCTTTAAAGTAATAGAAACATTTTCTTTGGTCAGCACAATTTAGAATACAATGGAGCATATACAGAAAGCAAGCAAAAATAAATGAACAATAGCTGTTATACATGAGAGATTGATTATACATAAAAGATTATATTTTGAAAGATTATACTTGGCTTGCTCTCTACACAGCCGAATACCGAGCTCTGGATTGAATCCAGAGCTCGATCCTCTGCTGTAGAGATCTTGCAGAACTGAGCTATGGATTGAATCCATAGCTCAGTTCATGGCTGCACAGGCATTTTGGAAAGGCCTGTGCCTGAGAAATGCAGGCCTGGCTGCAGAAGACGCTGAAGAAGAAATGGGCCAGTGAGGAGAGACCTGGCTGCAAGGTAAGTGGGTGCGGGGCGCGTGGGGCAGATGCACACTCCTACCCCCACCCTAGCCTGATTTTTAAGTGTGCCTTGCCCCCAAACTAGGGCTTATTTTTGGCCCACCCCCCAAAATCAAGCTAGGGCTTATTTTCAGGGTAGGCCTTACTTTCGGGAAAACACGGTATCAAGGGAACATTTAGTGCAAAGATGGACATGATAAAGGACAAAAATGATACAGACCTAACAGAAGCAGAAGAGATTAAGAAGTGGCAAGAGTACAAAGAAGAACTGTGCAAGAAAGATCTTAATGTCCCTCATAACCATGATTGTGTGATTGCTGACCTTGAGCCAGACATTCTGGAATGTGAAGTCAAGTGGGGTTTAAGAAGCATTACCAACAACAAAGCTAGCAGAGGTGACAGTATTCCAGTTGAGCTATTTAAAATTCTAAAAGATGCTGCTATTAAAGAGTTGCACTCAATTTGTGAGGAAATTTGGAAAACTCAGCAGTGGCCATAGGATTGGAAAAGATCAGTTTATATTTCAGTTCCAAAGAAGGATAATGCCAAAGAATGTTCAAACTACCATGCAATTGCATTTATTTCACACTTAGCAAGATTATGCTCAAAATCCTACAAGCTTCGCTTCAGTAGTATGTGAACTGAGAACTACCAGAAGTACAAGCTGGGTTTTGAAGAGGCAGAGGAACCAGAAATCAAATTGTCAACATTCACTGGAGAAAGCAAGGGAATTCCAGAAAAACATTTGCTTCTGCTTTATTGACTATGCTAAACTTTTGATTGTGTAGACAACAATAATCTGTGGTAAGTTCTTAAAGAGATAGATGTGCCATACAGAAGCCTGTATGCCAATCGGTCCATAAGCAACATTTCGAACCAGACATGGAACAATCAGTTGGTTCAAAATAGGGGAAAAGATATGACTGTATATTGTCACTCTGCTTTTAACTTATATGCAGAGTACATCATGCAAAATGCCAGGTTGGATGAATCACAAGCCAGAATTAAGATTGCCAAGAAAAATATCAACAATCTCAGATATGAAGATGATACCATTCTAATGACAGAAAGTGAAGTGAAACTAAAGAGCCTCTTGATGAGGGTGAAAGAGGAGAGTGCAAAAAGTTGGCTTGAAACTCAACATTAAAAAAACTAGGATCATGGCATCTGGTCCCACCACTTCCTGACAGAAGGGAAAGAAATGGAAGCAGTGACAGATTTTATTTTCTTGGGCTCCAAGATCACTGCAGACTGTGACTGCGGCCATGAAATTAAAAGACTTTTGCTCTTTGGGGGGAAAGCTATGGCAAACCTAGACAGCATATTAAAAAACAGAGGCATCACGTTGCCAACAAAGGTTCATATAGTCAAAGCTGTGTTTTGACTATATGGACTACGAGATCTGGATCATAAGAAAGGCTGACACCGAAGAATTGATGCTTTCAAATTGTGTTAAAGAAGACTCTTGAAAATCCCTTGGATTGCAAGATCAGATCTGTCAATCCTAAAAGAAATTAACCTTCATTGTTCTTTGGAAACACAATACTGAAGCTGAAGCTCAAATATTTTGACCATTGAAAAGACCCTGCTGTTGGGAAAGATAGATGGCAAAAGGAAAAGAGGATGGCAGAGGATGAAATGGTTAGATAGTGGATTGACACAGTGGGCATGGGTTTGAATACCAGGACATTGTTTGAAGGAACTAAAAGCCAAGGTTATTAAAAGTGCAGGAAAGGAATATAGCAGTGGTGGCGAACCTATGGCACGCGTGCCAGAGGCGGCACGCGGAGCCCTCTCTGTGGGCACGCGCCATCGCCCCAGCACACGTGGTCTCTAAAAGTTCGCTCCATGCGAGGGTTTGGGGCGGCAGGAGCAGGACGCTCCGTGCGGGGGTTGGGGCAACGGAAGAACGCTCCGTGCGGGGGTTGGGGCGGCGGGAGTATGCTCCGTGCAGGGGTTGGGGCTGCAGGAGAACAATCCATGTGGGGGTTGGGGCTGCGGGAGCAGAACACTCCGTGTGGGGGGGAGCAGAACGCTCCGTGCAGTAAGTAAACTTTAAAGACAGTTTTAAAAGTATGGCAGTATTCGAGAAAATCCTGTCCCTTACAGGGAATCAGGTTTTTTCTCTCCACTCCCTTTGGCTGTTCCCTGCCAGACCGTCTGGGAGCAAAAAGCCAAGGAGAGAGGAGAGACGCCTCCTTACGTGGGATGGGCGGGGGGAGGAGAGTTTTGCTGCCAGACTGTTTTGCTTGATGCAGCAGAATGGGAAGGATCGCCATTCTGCAGTAAGTAAACTTTAAAGAGAGTTTTAAAAGTATGGCAGAGAAAATAATCCACCTTATGTGGGATCAGGTTTTTTTTTCTCCACTCCCCCCCCCTCCCCGCATACCTCAGTACCTACCAGGGCTGCCAGCTACTAGAGCAGGTCATTAGGCCACCGCCCAGATCTGCATGCCCGCCCAGCACAAAGGAGATGAAGCAGTCAGCTAGGAGCTTAGGCTTAGAGGTGGTAGAGCACACCCAGGGCCAGCAGGCAAAAGACCACCCCAAGCAGGAAAAGCCAGATCCACCCAGGCCCAGCAGAGATGGAGAGAGGCACACAAGCCTAGCTGGGACTGGGGGGCCATGGCGCCGATGGAGATCGGGCTTTCTCCGCTTGGGGTAGCCTTTGGCTTGCTGGACGTGGGCATGCTTTATCACCTCTACTGCCCTGCCCCCTGCCTCACCTTGTGTTGCTTTGCCTCACCCTGCAGGACGAGCCTCCTGCCCACCGTCCCACCTGCCAGAGACCTCCTGGATCTCCCCCAACCCTGTCTGGCCCCCACAGGTGTCCGGCCCCATGAGTAACATTGAGGTGGCCACGCCCACCCAGGCCACGCCCACCCATGCTACCATGACCACCATAGCCACGCCCACCATAGCCACGCCCGCTATGTGGCCACTCCCACTCTGGCCACGCCCCCGGCACTCGGCAATGTGTAAGTGGGTTTCGGGTTGCAGTTTGGGCACTCGGTCTCAAAAAGGTTCGCCACCACTGGAATATAGAGTTGGCTTATTTGATGAAGGTTAAAATAGATATGTAGTTATCTCTGGTAGCCGTTAATGGACTTTGAATAACAAGGCTTTAAGAAATATAGAAAGAACAGAGCATTGCTGTTTTAAGAGATGGTGATAAGCTATGAAGGGGTAAGTTACTTTTTTATATTTTGTTCTTTTTTGTACTCCCTATTTTTATTTTTATATTTTTATAGTTTATATTAGTTTTTATTTTTCCTAATTGTAATGTTTAATAAAAAATATTATAAAAAAGAGAAAAAGGTGCTTATGATTTATGAGTTTGTAGATTAGAAAAAGTAGCTTATGGAAAGAGGGAAAATATCAAGTAACCTTCAAGAGAGAGGGTAAAATATAAATTGATTTATAACTGCTGTTAAAAAGATCGGAAGCTGTTTCTTAAAATCCTTTTTCATTTCTTTTTCTAATTTTCTTAGGTATTTGCTATTGTTATTTTCTTTATTTCTTTTCTAATATTTGTATTATCTTGTTAAAAATGTTCTCAATAAAGATTATATTTACAAAAAGAGTCTCTATTCCTGAGAAATCCCTATGGAAGTTTGATATTTTTCATTGATCTGCATTATTCTGCCATTGTTAGAAAAATGTTTGTACATGAATATATTTCAGATGAACGCCAAGGATTCTTTGGAGTTGCATTTCAATAGCTACTGTTCAATATACTGAACTTTCAGAAAAACATATACCGTATATACTCGAGTATAAGCCGAGTTTTTCAGCACATTTTTTGTGCTGAAAAATGCCCCCCTCGGCTTATACTCGAGTCAGCGTCTCGAGAACTGAGGAAAGTGAGTACCGTAGTTCTTTTTTTGGGGGGGGGGGGAAATCTATGCAATCACTAAAAGGCTTAATCTATATCCAATAACGTCACAAAATAGTTTTAGGCGGCAGTCTTACAAATGTGCATGAGCAAAATGAGTTTCGCGGTTCGGTTTCAGTAGAAATAAACAGGCTTACCGTAAGTTGTTCGTGGCTCTGCAAACATGGATGGAGAACTGAGCTGACTGAGCGTCTGCCTGCTTCTCCCTCAAACCCTCCAGTTTCCTTCATTCCAGCACGCCGAGGGGGGCTTTTTCTTTTTTAGCTCCTTTTCATTCTCCCGTTCTTCCTCCCTTCTCCACTTTGAGCCCGGCGGGGCCGCAACCTTCACAATTGCGCGCTGAATAACTTGAGGCAGGTGTGCGCCCCGCGGGAAATCCTCGGGGACAGGGTGGCGCTGCGACGGGTGGAGGCTCGCGCCGCCTCTCGGCGCACAAAGTCAGGAGAGGCTCAAGTTTTATTTTTTGGCTTGGGGCTCGGGGTGGGCTGGAAGGGTGTGGAGAGGAGCCCAGAGGTGAGGGGCCCGTCCCCGGACGGCGCCACGGTTCCGTGTGTCCGAGCGCGAGGGAGTGTGCAGCGAGCGCCCCAAAAGCTAGAAGCGTGGGGAGGGGATCGGGGAGAGAGACGGCGTGCGCGTGCGCTTGGGCCGACTGTGCCATATTGGAATGAGGTGGTGAGCGGAGCGCCGGTGAGCCTTGCCCGACCCCCGGCAGCGGCACAGGGCTGGAAAAACTCCCCCTAGGTAAGATGGGCGCGGGATGCCCTCGTTGGAAGGGCGGTGTGTGGTGTAGATGCTGGGTACGTTTTGCCGCCTGACTGACCGCCCGAAAGGTTTTTTTTCAGCTCCTGAAGTTTGATGCGGGAGACGGCGAGGGAGGGCGGTAGCAGCAGCGGTGGCGGCGGCAGAAGTAGCCGTTGCCGCTGTTGCCGCCAGGCAAGCAGGCGGAGCGCAGCGCCAGGGGAGGGTACGTTTTGCCGCCTGACGCTCCTGAAGTTTGATGCGGGAGACGGCGAGGGAGGGCGGTAGCAGCAGTGGTGGCGGCGGCAGAAGCAGTTGTTGCCGCCGCTGCCGCCAGGCAAGCAGGCAGAGCGCAGCGCCAGGGGAGGGTACGTTTTGCCGCCTGACCAGCTCCTGAAGTTTGATGCGGGAGACGGCGAGGGAGGGCGGTAGCAGCAGCGTTGGCGGTGGCAGAAGTAGCTGGTGCCGCCGCCGCCAGGCAAGCAGGCGGAGCGCAGCGCCAGGGGAGGGTACGTTTTGCCGCCTGACCGGCTCCTGAAGTTTGATGTGGGAGACGGCGAGGGAGGGCGGTAGCAGCAGCGTTGGCGGTGGCAGAAGTAGCTGGTGCCGCCGCCGCCAGGCAAGCAGGCGGAGCGCAGCGCCAGGGGAGGGTACGTTTTGCCGCCTGACCGGCTCCTGAAGTTTGATGTGGGAGACGGCGAGGGAGGGCGGTAGCAGCAGCGTTGGCGGTGGCAGAAGCAGCTGGTGCCGCCGCCGCCAGGCAAGCAGGCGGAGCGCAGCGCCAGGGGAGGGTACGTTTTGCCGCCTGACCGGCTCCTGAAGTTTGATGCGGGAGACGGCGAGGGAGGACGGTAGCAGCAGCAGTGGCAGCGGCAGAAGTAGCTGCCGCTGCCGCCGCCACCAGGCAAGCAGGCGGAGCGCAGCACCAGGGGAGGGGGAGCAAGCGGCGAGCGCTTCCCTCCGATGCCCGGGCTGGAGCCACCGTGGCCGCCGCTGCCGCCATGCCGCTGCAGTAGGAGCGCCAATTCTGTGCGTGGGCGGCGCTGGTGCCGCTCTCCACGCAAGTTCTCGCGGCCCGGGGGAGGTGCGCGTTGCGTCGGGGAAGGTCTGGGCCCGGAAGGGGGTGCCAGGTTGACTCTTTCCCTCTCGCCTTTGCTGCCCTGATGCGGTCGCGAAAAGTTGCGAGGCGGTGGGCACGGAAGCTCCCTTTCCCTTTTCTCTCTGCCCCTTTCCCGACTCCGGGGTTGTTCCGAGCAAGAGGGGAATCTCTGCTGGCCTCCCGCGGTTCCCTCGGAGTCTGAATGGGTCACCAGCCAAGCACTTGGCTGACACTTTTTTTTCCCCCTCCACATTCAAGTAGTCTACGGGTCGGGAGAATCTCGTTTCAAGGTAACTTCCCATGAACTTTTTGTGGCCATGTGTATTCTTGGAGGGCCGGTTGGTTGAGAAGTCGTCGTCCCCCCCCCTTTTTTTAAAAAACTTAAATATGGCTTCATTTGAAGAGAAGAGGCCTCATGAACTATTTGGCTGTTTTTCTGTCTTCTCACTACACCGCCCCTGCCCCCCCCCATGGCGGCGTATGTGATCTTTAAACTCTCATTCCGGGACTCTGTCGGGACTGCTGCTTGCTCTAAAAAGCGCTACGTTGTTCGGTGAGATGTTAATCCGATTACAACTTCACATAACAACCTGGTTATACACCTTATGCATACTTCGGGGACTAAATCTTAAGGATGGTCGGATCCGCAGCTGCTGCGCACGTTGTTTTCATTAAGTACAGTGCCACAAACTTAACACTAAGCCCAGCCCCAGTTTCCATCTTACAAGTGTTGCTAATGTCTTCTCCTGCGGGATTCTGCTTTCAGTTGAAAAACAACTGCTCGATATGCTCTGCTGTTTTACATTTACCAGTAGCTGCCTCATTTCCCACCCTAGGCTTATACTCGAGTCACCATTTTTTCCCAGTTCTTTTTGGTAAAATTAGGACCCTCGGCTTATATTCGGGTCGACTTATACTCGAGTATATACGGGTAAGTCTGAATTTGGCATACATTCCTATTAAAACATCATTCCTATTAAAAATACCATTGTCTATCTGCATTTATTTATTGAGATAGTATATATCCAATTAGAATATGTGCAATCAGAATGCATTTTTTACATTTGTATTTCTTAATTAGTTGGCTTCCTGAAGCTCAAGTCATTCAGAAGGCTTTGAATTCAGCTGCTACTAATGTTTATCAGTATGGACGAGAATGGATAACACATAAGGTAATGATGAGATTCTCTTTGGAGATTAATGTTCTGCTGCTTCTTACTTTCTTTTCAGAAAGATTCATGACTGCAAAAATAAACTTTGATCTATATTTAATATTGACAGTTTGCAAATAGTTTGTCTTTAAATATTAATGAAACATACCTTTTTTGCTATTATTTATCCGATTTCATAGTAGTCTGCAAAATAAAACTACAAAAAGTATGTTAAAAATAGATATATTAAATTATCTAGATTAAAACTATAAACTTGCAGTTGTTATTAAACTATAATTTGTAAATGTTAAATAAGCTTTTTTATTCTCCTCTCCCTTCTAATTCATTATGAGATCAGGTTTTAACAGTTTATTTGTTTATCTGCTAAGTCCAATAAAAGACTTGCACAAGCTTATTTGGAAAATATACATTAGTCTTTATTAAGCAGTATTAACTGAGCAAAAAACCCTGTTCTGAACATAATGCAGTTCTGGATTTGATAATCTAAATTCTGCTACTCTATTTGTTCCCTTTATATATATTCTGATTACTGTCATGATTTAATTATATCAACCAAAGCCATAACAACTGAAATTATTATTGTTACAATTTAAATATTATTTATTTATTTATTTATTTATTTTATTAAATTTATATCCCGCCCTTCTCCTTACGGACTCAGGGCGGCTAACAATCAGATAAAATACAAAAATACAGTACACATTTAAAATTAATTAAAAAGAAATATTTAAATCTGATCCGATTAAAAGTGATTAAAACCCCTTTAAAATCCCTTAGGCCAGTCCCGCAAGCTGG